AACTGAGCTAGAGGCCAGAAAACACTTGGCCTGCCTTCAGTGAAGCAAGGCAGAGGAACAGCTCCATTAACTGTGATACCATCCATGTATTCACAGCAACAAGCCATCTATAAGACTACATGCTCCAAGTTTATGTCTGAAAGGCTGGAAAGGAGGTTGGTGTTTCAACTAGAGATGTTGTCTCCTTACTCTTGTTTCTGAGCCAGTGTAATTTCAAGTGATTTCAACCTTTGGGAACACACAAGCATATCCAGTCAGTAAGACTGATCATCACCACCACTTTGACATGTGGAACAGAACTCCAGCCTAGCTCTTCCAAGGCAGTAACACTCTTGAACATCAGTCACCACTAAGAAAACATGACTGTGCCATAACCAGGGAGACATTCCTACCCAGAGTTAATCCACCTTCACATCCTAGGTACGAGTTCTTAGCTTCAATGCATAACCATCAAGACATCCAGGTACTGTTCAGCTCAGGCCTCTCTTCCCTCCTGTCTCCAAAACAATAAAAGATTTCTCCAGGATGCCCTCACCACACACACCACTCAGGAAACTCCCTGGGGCACACTGTTGACATGTTTCTAGTGACCTCACCAAGTTACAACTGTTTATCTGAAGGCATGGCCAGGAGGAGTGACTCACTTGTCTCAACAGCTGCTCACATCTGCCTGCCCTACCTGCCAGAGGGAAGATGCCTCCAAAACCACATCCCTACTGCACCCTTGAGCTGTGGAAGCCACGGCTGCTGTGCAGACTGCCAAGCAGGCCATTAATCACCATCACCTCCATGTACATTGCAATGTCATCAGTAGTTGGCCTTCCCACCCACCAGCAAAAGGACAGAATTACTCTTTATAAATGAACTCTTAGAAAGCAAGAGCTATTTCTGGTCATCCTAGATTCCTTGGCAGAAGTTACTCCAGGAGCCAGCCTGCAACTGCCAGAAGCTATCTTATCTCAGAGAGTCTCGCTGGTGAACTGCAGGATATCAACAGTCGTACACAGAGCACTTTAAAACAGGGTCTGGGTGCCAGGGGAAGGAAGGGAATTCAACCCAGAAACCATGGTGTCTGCCCAAAAGCTGAGGAGAAGCACAGACACCACCTGCCCAGCAATCCACACAATCCAGAACAAGGTCTGATGGGACTGGAGCACTTATGCACCCCTATAACTTTTAGGGTCAAGCTCAGACTACACAAAATACAGTTTCCTACAGCTAAGGGACTATTGTCTGGTTGAAAAAAATAACACATATTGACAAAAATAGGATTCCCAGCTAGGCCTTGTCCTCTGAAAAGAATGTTACCAATTACAGTAAGGAAAGCAAGCTCTTCTAAGGTAACATTAATTACAATTAAAAATGGCAAAGTTGAAAGAGACAGTGCAGAGCTACCCACCAGCTTCAGCCTGTCACTCCAACAAGCCCACACAGGTTAGTGCCAAAGCCAGCTCACAAGATGCTGTCATCATTTAGGGCAGTATTTCAGCACTTTGTAGGCTATAATATTGCTCTTTTTTAGACAGGGTCAAATCATCCCAGAAAACATCCCTCTGCTGACCTCAGCTACAAGCATGGAAAATCATTTTGACTTAGCAGGGTCACTGATCCCATGCATGAAGCATCACCCTAGGTCTAGGCAACATGATGTATGTTGCATGATTGTAGTGAAGCACACAAGCTTGCAGTTTGGTCTCAAACACAGGACATCCTTGGTCTTACCTGAGATTCCTCAGTCCTCCTAGCCCGAGGAGTTTCTATGGATCCATTGATATCCAGTGTGTCCTTCTGCTTATACTTCCTCATGATCAAACTGTCCACAACCCAGAACATAATGGCCTTAGGGAGAAAGAAGCTGCATGAATAGATTGCAGAGACCAAAATACAAAGCCATTCAATCACAGCTATTTCTTCTCCTTTTGGTTTCTCCAGATGCTGAGCCTTGATCAACCTAATGTAATATCTAAATTGACTCTGCATCAAGTGTGTCCATGGGAGCTGGATGAGTCAAATTCCTGAGGTACCTTCTCACATAAATTCTATTGATTCCAGTTGTTAAAGACCCAATGAAGAAGGAAAAGGCCAAGTTTCCACCAGGAAATAACCATTGAACCAACCTCCATCCTAGGTTAATCTGCTCGGTCTGCATCAGTCACTGGTTAGTTCTTTGAGAACCAGAGTTTGCTTTCAAATAAGGAAATGCAGCCTGGGGTGGGGAGAAAGGCTGGTAGTACAGGGAGGTAAACCCAACTTTGCCAGTGCTGCATCCATTGCAATGCTCATGGTATAAACTGAAAATAGTTCGACCCACTCTTTGTCCAAGGGGGAACCAAATATTAACACCTTGTTCTCACTTCCCATCTTAGCAGGAACTAAGCAGCAGGTCAGGGATTACCCAGAATCAGGGGAACCAAGACAAAGCTGAACTTTCAAGAGGTTTTACCAAACTAGTTTTGTTAAGATCAATAGTTCTAGGTAGCCTGGACACCTTGCCTTGCTGAAACACAACATGAAGTGTAGCCAAACAGCTAGATTGGCAGGTTACAAAAAGTCACTGCTGATAAGCCATCCTAGAGGAACTTAAAGGGCTTTGGGGCATTCCCACAGCTGTAGCTTGCTGCCAAGAGGCAGCCCTCAGCTAATGAGCCCCAGGTTTCTTCAAAGAATCAGCCACCCAGCAGCTTGGCCAAGGGAGTGGCAATTAGGAACAGAGACCGTGGCAGGGCAATAGTGACATATTTGTGTATTCATGACAACAAAGATATTTGTTTGGACTCCCCTCCACCCGGTCCCAGACACTTCAATTACTCAAGGCTGTCCCAGGCCAGATCCTGTACATGCTCCCCATTGAGCAGGACCATAATTTCCAAACCGCCCCACCCAGTGCTTGCAGAAGTATCATCACTTACATTGACTATAAAAGGCACAACAAGCATGACCAGGACAAGCTCCAGCTGGGGGTTTGGGATGTAACCCAGGAGGATCTGCTGAAGCTGCAGAGAAGAAAGCATTTAGAAGCATTATTTGAACAGCTTTCTTATGAGATCTTTGCTGCAAACTGGTTGCCTTCTCACATCAGCAGCTTCCTAGCTAGGGCTCTGCAGCCTTTGCTTTAAGCCCAGCTGCCAAACACAGGACTTAGTACAGATCAAGAAATAAGCACTGCTAGTCTTTCAGTTTAACTACCTGTGAGATGTGGTGGGACTTTTCTTGGCTCCTTGGAGCCTAGCTGCACAATAAGGACACCAGCCATGTGTGATAAGCATGGAGAGGAATCCAGTAGCGTTTCTGGATCTAACAGTGCGTGCTGCTGAACATGTTCATGTCCAAGTCAGCACTGTAGGCTACTGGGTTGGAAGGACAAGCCCTTAACAGGAACAGCTAAGCGCTCCCAGACTGCTGTGAACAGCTCCTCGGTGAAGTCACATCAGCCTGTGAGGTACAAGGCATATGTGTAAATGCACTTTACTGGAGCTACCCATCAGCATCCAGAATTGTTTTTTATACCCATCACACCTACCTGCCACCAGGTAGGTGGCTACAACTCCAAAAGGATTATTATTTTTATTTTTTAAAAGAGGAACTTGTGATCCACACAATTATCATTCCATGAGCTACCATGCAGCAGCAGCTGTGGTGGGAAGGACAGCATACTACTGGGATAGTTAATTCCAAATTAACCTCTAAGAGTCCCCCTAATTTAGGCATGGGATCGCAAAACACCAACATGAACTGACTTGATGAGATAATGGAGAAATCCTCTGGCAGAACTCAAGCAGCTCAGCTGCCAGCCCAGCCCATTTTATCCTTCCAAGGATGGAAAAGAAAATTAAAGCAGCATCTTATTCCACTAGCTTCTGACTAGCAAGAGAATGTACCCAAAGCCAAACTGTTATGAAAGTCATGTTTCCCCAAACTTCAGTAATAGCCAATGGTTACAGAGAGATGTCAACAAGCTGTAAGGATTAACAACCTACGATGATGGTGACCACTAATAAGGCAAAGCTGACAAGAAACAAGTCACAACAGTTGTGGCTAGAAAAATACAGCTCAGGAGCTTACCTTTGTCCAACCAGGGATAAGCAGGACAAGACTAATCACAGTCTTCTCAAAAACCATTATGAGCAAGTAGAGGATACACTGGCCAATCCAGGCAGCAGCTTGTGGAGGGTCACCTGGAAAACAGCATATTCAATATGACACAGAGGACAGGAGGAGAAAGCCTTGCAGAAACATTGACTCATGCTTGATTCCTGAGCCAATTAGAAGGACAGGGAAGTGTTTCCATACTGCAAGTTTTGCAGTGAGACAAATACTCAATGCCAAACTTATTTATCTGCCTCCTGTCCTGCTCTCCATTCCACCAACCTGCCTCTGAAATCCACCAAGAGGAGAAAGCCACCACCAAAAACCTTTCTGCCTTGCATCTCCTCCCCCATTGCCTGTCCCTCCTAGATCAATTGCTTTGCTAGAGCAAAAGTCCTACAAGAGTCCTACAAGGCAGGCAGGCAGCTTCTGTGAAAGGGGAGAGACACAGCTTTGTCTCTGCCTGAAGACCTGAAATTCCTCATGTTTATCCAACAAGCCCAGCACTTGCAGACACTCCCAGGCTCTGAAGGCCCACAGCTCAATGGTATAAGCAGCAGAGTCCAGAGAAGGTCACAAAGATGATGCAAGGGCTGGAGCACCTCTCCTATGAGGACAGGCTGAGAGAGCTGGGGTTGTTCAGCCTGAAGAAAAGAAGTCTCTGGGGAGACCTTCTAGCAGCCTTCCAGTACCTGAAGGGGCTCCAGGAAGGCTGGGGAGGGACTTTTACAAGGGCAGTTAATGATAGAACAATGGGTGATGGCTTTAAACTGGAAGAGGGCAGGTTTAGATTAGATATCAGGAAGAAATTCTTTGCTGTGAGGGTGGTGAGACATTGGCCCAGGTTGTCCAGAGAAGCTGCGGCTGCTCCTCCCTGGAAGTGTTGAAGGCCAGGTTGGATGAGGCTTTGAGCAACTTGGTCTAGTGGAAGGTGTCCCTGCTGATGGCAGGGGGGTTGGAACTGGATGATCTTAGGTCCCTTCCAACCCAAACCATTCTATGATTCTATGAAATCATGAAAGCTCAAATCTCATCATCCAACTCAATCAGTTCCTTACAAGCATGCATTGCTTTGGGGCATCAGTTATTTTGTTCACCCCTTGTCTGGTGCCCTTTTGTCAGGGTACCAGAGATTTCATTTCTCCTCACCTTGGCAAACCTAGAAAAATCTGCACAGACAGGTTTCCCTCCCTTCCAGTGCCCATGAATCTTGTAGGAGCAGCTCACAAAATCCTGCCCCTTTTTGACCAGAATGTCAAATTGATGATTCTTTCCGAATTAAAACTAATCCCAACAGCAACCCCCAAGAGAAAACACTGCTGGACTGACCTTCCTCTGCACAAGGAACAGTCAGTGTCCTGCACACTCCTCTATTAAAAAATAAATCATTAAAGGCATCACTTGCTATTTCCTCCCTGCCAAGCTTTACCCACCCAATTATCAGCAGCAGTCTGAAAATTTCTGGTCACCACTTTTAAGACAAGAAGCACAAGCTTTCAGTTCTAAACAGAATTAATTTTTTTGCTGATGAAGTGAACGGCTGGTTACGTGATACTCGCTGTCTGAGGAAGAGACAGGGGCTCCATTGCTCCAGGTTTTAGAGCAATTCACTCAAAAAAGAATCGATGCTAATTAAATATGAATGTTTCCAATGGGGTACTTACCAAGTAATAAGTAAAAGCATATTTGTATTGTTAACAACGATAATGGTACCGTATCTATTACATGTGCTTGCTTCAGCCCTCTGTAAGCACCCTGCCAGCTGGTTATCATCTTCCCAGGCTCACCAGAATATCTCAAGTCTGCAAAACTGAGCTACAGTATCTGGCTTAGGAAAGATGCAGCATTTCCTCTTACCACTTGAATATAAAGATAACTCCTGGCAACATTTGTTTCCAGCATAATCAGGTCAGAATTTGGAATTGCAACTGTGCAAGAGAATCCAACCCACCATGAGATGGTGATGCTCGATTTGCTGTCGGGTGGCAGCCAACTGTGAGCTCTGCCCCTCTTTTCTCACAACTTTTCTTTGACCTGGGAGTACTGGTGGATGACCATGAGCCAACAATGTGCCCTCATGGCCAGGAAGGCCAATGGTCTCCTGGGGTGCATTAAGAAGATTGTGGTCAGCAGGTCAAGGGAGGGTCTCCTCCCTCTCTACTCTGCCCTGGTGAGGCCACATCTGGAACACTGTGTCCAGTTCTGGGCTCCTCAGTTCAAGAGAGACAAGGAACTTCTAGAGAGAGTCCAGCAGAGGCTACAAAGATGATTAAGGGGTTGGAGCATCTTTCTTACAAGGAAAGACAGAGAGCTGTGTCTGTTCAGCCTGGAGAAGAGAAAACTGAGAGGGGACCTTATCAATATTTATCAATATCTAAAGGGCAGGTATCAAGAGGATGGGGCCAGACTCTTTTCAGTGGCAGACAGCAACAGGACAAGGGGCAATGGGCAGAAGCTGGAACACAGGAGGTTCCACTTAAACATGAGGAAAAACTTCTTTCCTGTGAGGGTGCCAGAGCCCTGGGACAGGCTGCCCAGAGAGGTTGTGGAGTCTCCTTCTCTGGAGATGTTCAAAACCTGCCTGGATGCAGTCCTGTAAATTTTTTTTCTAGATGTACCTTCTTTGTCAGGGGGGCTGGACTCGATCTCCAGAGGTCCCTTCCAACCCTGACCATTCTGTGATTCTATAATACTGTCAAGATGTGGCAGAGGAAGACAACACCAGTAGTTCACAAAAGCACATTTATCCAAACCACTATGCAAACCTCCAGCCACAGAGACCAGCACCACATACCAGGATTTAGTAAGATTTATCCAACCAAGCCCAGCTCTAGGGGAAACTCCTTCCCAGCCAGGGCAAAACAGGTTTGCATGTGTATTTGTCCTTATCCTGTCATTTCTTATCAATGTAAGAAAACATTTGCCTCGTTGCAAAGCTACAGCTAAGAAATAGAGATATCCAGCTTGTGTCTCCATGCCAGAGACCTCAGAACGATCACCTTACATCCCAGTTTTTTAATTGCTCAAGCTGTGATTGAGAAGGAAGCAAAGGAGGGGAGAGGGAATGACTGAGAGGCCAAGGGTGCAGAGAGGCTGCTGAGCTGTGAGGACAGCAAGCAGAGAGCCAGAAGACAACTGTGTGGAGCAGGGAGAGGAAGAGGGAGCCAGGAAGGTTACGTGTGAGTGCAACCAGCAGAGCCCGCAGAGGATTTCAGAAAGCACACGTCCCCACTCCCTGGCAGGCAACAGCTTAATGGGTGGTCTGTGGAGGAGACAGGAGCAGTTTCAGGCAGCTGGCAATTAAAGGCAGGTGTCAGAGAGGCTTTGATCCTCCTGGAGCATGGACTGCCTTTCCTGAGAGACTCTGGTGTCTAGTTGTCTTTGGCACAGGTTAGGTAAAGTGGGGCTTTTTGCACCATACCCCAAGACTGACCAATTCTCCTACAAACTCCCAGGTTACAATCACCCGTCAGAGCTCTGAGTACAAACAAAACAGGAAAACAAACATATCCATCATTTCCTTCCTGCATGTGAACTCTTTCCCTTTTGCTCTGTGTTGTCAGCTGTGCTCCATCCCCTGTGGGGAGACAGGACCGACAGCCACAGCACCCTTTGCAAGTCAACTCTTCTGCGCTATGGTCACAATGGCACTTGTGGAACACTTCCCTCTTTCATCTCAGCTTGCCCAAAAAGCAGCAGCAAGTTTGACATCTCTCCCAAATACCTGTCCCTTCACACTCTTTTGGGGTTAGGAGGTCACTACCATTCATCATCACAAACAGCTATGGTTCTGAGTTTTGTGTACTGTGCACTAGGCAGCCCTAGTCAAGTTTTGGCTAACCAGGCTGACACAAAGACACTAGAAAAGACAACCAGCTTCTTAACCCACACTAGGCATGGACTCATTCATGTCTACAAGGTTAAGAGCTCCTCACCCCCCAAAAATTTCCCCCACATTTTCAATTAACAAGAAAACCATCAAACTGCTCTTGAGTTTTCTTGAGGTTTGACAACCTTTGAAAAGGAAAACCTTTTCTCCCTTCACTAGAGAACAGTTTTTACTGAGCAACTGCATGATTCTACCTAGGGAACCTCACTTCTCCTAGACCAGAGATCTGTACCAGTTACGCTAGCTCCACGGGCTAAGTGTGCAGGGCATGAGGAAGTGGTACAGCAAGCTGCCAAGCGGGACAGATCTGCACTCCTTACTACCCACTACATCCCACCTTGTCAAAGGTGCCTCCATCCAAGCATGGAGCTTCAAACCTTCTAATTTCTCGCTCTGGTCATTTCTGCATCACCTACAGAAGATGCAGTGAACCTCTTCCATAGTTAGAGGGTCATCAGCATTTCTTACATGTCCAGGAGAGACAGACAAAGGATATGGAAGGAAACCCACAGACCTATACAAAAGCCAGATCTACTGTCACCTTAAGCAGCTCAAAATTGCTACTGTTTTGCACCCTCTTTTTCCTCTGTTTGTGTTCTGAACTGTTTTTCCAAACTATAGGATGAGATGTTTCTGTACAGGAATCCATCCTGGAGCACAGAATTACACAGGACTTAATTTCCACTCCCTGACAGGAAGATCAGAGTGTGTCTCCACAGTTACTTTTTACTGCATTTTGGCCTCTGAAGGACAGGAGGTTGTTCAGTACCAAAATAACTCAGGACAAGATGAAAAAAACAGCAGCATGGCCCACAGGGCTGTAAGGATGACTTCAGCTATAGACAGTGACTTGTTTCCTCTTCACCAAGGAGCTCAGCTGGCTGCTCCTTACTTCAGCAGGTTTGAAGTCATCCAAGGACCATTGATACCTCTCAGAGTGGCCATCATCCAAGTCTAACTCATCACTAATTCATTAAACTCTGACTAATGCCAGTAACATACAAGTCACCACCTATTAGCATCTCATTAGAGAAGAGGGAGCCTTTGGTGTGGTCCCTGGACAAGCCTGTAAAACAGACTGGCCACATCATCTTCTCCTTCCACAGTTAGGAAGTGAGGCTGGAAAACTTGAGCTGATCCCAGCTAGTCACACAACTCACTCAGGTGCTGCTTCCTACAGCAAGGTGGCCAAAGGCATCC